CATCTTGTTCTTTATCTAAGTTCCCCTCGAGAGCTCTCTAAATCTCTGCAATTTAGTACTGGGAGTAGCAGTGTGAGTCAGGCTCCTTATTCAAAACAGACACCTTGCAGTCACCCCTGGCTTTGCATTAATAAGGTAGCTTTGGGAAAGTCCCTAAGGATGGGGCTGGTCACCTCAGAACTTTGTGGTTAGAGGTGTGAGATGTATAGATCTACCACTATGTGTGCTCTGAGTACAGCATTGTCTGCTGATGCTATTACAACACAAGCTCTGTGCAGGCAGAGACCTTGACTGTGTAATGTGTTGGAAATAAACCTGTTCTCCCTCTCCCTCTGTGTCTCCCCCTACCCCCCTCACTCCTTCCTTCTCCCCCATAGGTAATGAAACCTCCTTGTATCCCAAACAGGGCTCAGAGAACTCCCAGTTTCCTGAGTGTGTGGAGGCTGTCCCTCTCAGACAGGATAAAAAAGCTTTGTATCCTGTCTTCCATACTGAGCGTTCCTGTATCATTCACTGGGCTGTCTCCAAGCTGTAAATTTTAGAATGAACAGATAAACATTAAGCCAAGAGCTTGCCTATATACACTCTGTCATCCAGAGGAAAAGATATGCAACCTAGACTTGACACACACCGAGAATAGGGTCGTCTTGTTGGACTCTGTTACTTGGGGTTCTGACTTTATTGTCAGAATGGAGTTAGAGTGTAGGAGGTTGGGGAGTTGGTTAATCTGAGAGAGACCCAGAGTATGAGTGTTCTCAGTCGAGTGAAAGTATAAGAGGAAAAAGTAGGGTCTCTTCTTCTCTTCCGTACAGGATGGAATAACAGGGGTAAAGGAGAATGAATTGTATGTTTTGCATTGTGTCCACAAGAATGTCAAACAGTGCCATAATCTGACCTCTTAGCCTTTTTATGACACTGTAGTTCAAGTCCACCACTGTCCACAGTAACTGTAGCCCTTCCCCGGGAGGTTTCGTGTATATTGTAAAGTGTGTTCTTATTGCTGCCACGCTAATACGAGCTGTGAGGAAGAGCCTTTGTCTATGTAGCAAATGTGAAAATAACTAAGAAATATTTATATGCACATAGATATTTCTGGAAGCTCTCGAAGGATATGGTCAGAGTTTTTCCTTCCCTTAAAGACTGGGATAGTTGCTAAGGGGAATTTGGCATGGGAAGGAAAGGAAACCTACTCTGAAATGTACACCTCTCAGTTCATTGTTATTTTATTAAGGACTTATTTTAATTTTTTATGTACATGAGCATAACTATAGCTGTCTTTGGATATACCAGGAGAGGGTTGTGAGCCACCATGTGGTTGCTGGGAATTGAACTCAGGACTGCTGGAAGAGCAGTCAATGCTCTTAACTGCTGAACTATCTCTCCAGCCTCATTGTTATTATTATTGTTATTATTATTATTATTATTTACTCTGCCTATACATTATTGTTTGAAAATTTTAAAGTGCTTTGTGTAATATTAGTTTCAAACACAACACAAAACAAAAAAACAAATATGTACAAGAAACGAGCTTTTCACACTTACATGTTATTTTCCAAAAATTCTATTCTCTGTCCATTAAAAGTGACTGTAGTGACATCCTTCTGATAATGCCACATATTTCTTGTTTGGTTCTCACAGCAGGACCCCAGGCCTGGCATGCCATTCCACTGCCCTTACATTTGAGGAAACCTGGGCCTGGGCAGGAGAAACAGCTCCTGCAAGTTCACACCGCTCGGTATCATCAAATGTTTGACCCATTCTGATTCCCGAGCCGGCGCCTTCAGCTTCCGCCCTATTTCAGGAAGCACTGCACAGTAGCCAAGCCTCCTTTGTAGTCCTTGTCCTCTGCATCTTCATCTAAAGGCCTTGCTGTGACGAGCCAGCGAGCCTCACTCCACGGAGGCTGCTCTGGGATGCCCATCTCTGTGTACAGTGCAGCACGGGAAGCATCATTACTGTGTACGATGCTGAGGATTTTATTTTTAAATGATAAACTCCAAGAACCCCGGGGGACACCTACAACAGGCTAATTCAAACCCAGTCCTTCTTCAAATACCTGATAGCAGAATGTTTCCTGATGTGAAATGAACTCCTTTCCTGTTTTATCCCAGGCTGTGATCCTATAAAGAACCAAAGGTTCACTTCTGAAGGCCAGTGATGCCTTAATAAAAATAAATGATTTAAGTCAACTCGCAGCTTTTTATAGTTACAGCTGCACAGCTGTGACATTCTGTTCAGCAGAGTGGAACACTGTCTATCAAAAGATATTTTTTTCCCTAAGTTCTTATTCTATCCTTAAAAAGGGCTAAAAATGTAGCATTCACATTGATCAGGAAACAGGGCTAGCTTTTAACATGGTCCCATCACCAATGGATCTTGGTGATACACACTATAATTCAGGGAAAGTTAACAAATATTTCACAGAACATGGATGGGCCTAGATGGACATGAGCGATCTATCTATCTGCAGGAACCAGAGTGAGAGAAACGATTGTACAACCAACACCAACTCAAGGCATGACTAGTTCATAGCTTAAAGTTTCATTCTTGGCTTAAGTACTAACTGGCTGCTTAGATCATCCATGGGCATTAAGATGCATGGTTTTACTTTTGGCTATCTAATTAGCTGGTGGTTAAATGTACAAACATTTACTTTTTATGGGACCTTAGAGGGGTCAGCAGGACCTAAAATTCGAAACAATTAAACCAGCACATAATGTTTAAACACCGATGAACAGCACATGAAGACTATGTCAGACTGACAGTGATAACTTAACAGCGCTTCTGGAGTCTAAAGAGTCAAGAGAAAGGAAAACCACAGCTGTACTTAGAGAGGAGATTCAGCATCACAGTTAAGAGCGTCTCCTAAGTGACCCTAGAAGTGTGAAAGTGACCACACCAATTCCAAAGCCACACAAACAGAAACACAGAGAAGATAAGGTGAGAGAGAGACCAGCAGGGACAGATGTGAGGTGTGCAGTAGCTCCGAGAGACCAGCAGGGTCAGATGTGAGGTGTGCAGTAGCTCTGAGAGACCAGCAGGGACAGATGTGAGGTGTGCAGTAGCTCCGTAGTTCTTGAAATGCTATGCTGCTGGAGCAGACAGGCACCAGGAGAGAACACTGAGACAAGATCAGTGTCATGGGGTCTTTGTTAAAGGAGGCTACTGCCGATGTGAGGAGAGGATAATTCTCAACAAACGCCGGTTAGGAGAATGGCAGGCCACCAGAGAAAGTGTTGCACCTCTGCTTCAGTCTTTGTAATGAAAGCTCCATAAGACTTAATTAGAAAGGAGAAATAAAATGAGGTAGAGGAAGAGAGAATGCTTTCCTAAGTTTTGGCCTGGAGAAGATCTAGTGACACCAGCTCCGGTGAGGAATTCAAAATTGGATTGACTCAGTTACTTAACACCGGCAACAAATCTTCATGCGTCAAAGCCCCAAAGATAAAGTCAAAGATGACGGGAATCTGGGAGGAACGCAACCCCATATTATAAAAATCTGGTTAACTTCTTCGACCCATAAATCTCTGATACACACTAATAAGAAAGTTTCCAATAGATAACTGAAAAAAAAACACACACACATCAGATCACAGAAGCAGGTACATAGCAGAAACTCCATATTTTATACTGCACTTGAGAATGTTTTAGCTTTATTTATAATTTTACAAGTGTCATACCATGGCTGGAAATGTAGCATAGTGGTGGGCTGTCTGCTTAGTATGTGCAAGGCTATGGTTTCAATCCCTGCATCACAGGAATAAAGCAAAACAAAAGAGTAATAGTATTCACTGAATCACAATTAAAAAAACTATAACATTCCTTTGGTAAGGATACAGAAAGCTGCTTTTTAAATTTTAATTTGTGTGTGTGTGTGTCTATGTCTCTGCCTCTCGAGTGTGTGTGTGTACACATGTGTGTGCTTGTCCTGATGTGGCATGCAGAGGTTCTACTGTGGGGTCAGTTCTTTGCTTCTGCTCTGTGGATTCTAAGGATTGTCAGGTTGTCAGGTTTGGAGTCAAATATCTCTGTTCTGACTTAATGTTCCCAGCAAACTACTTTTAAATATTGTTGTTTGAATTATAAATTGGCTCAGTAGTTTTTGGAAGACAGAATTGCAGTCATCATAGTTTAAATACATGTAGTCTTAGCAATTAAACTTCCAGGATTTACTTCATAGATATATTAAAAAGTGTGCTAAGTATCACATGTATATGTCTTATTTGAAAGAGAAAGCATGTTCATTAATAATTTTAACTAATTATTATAAATGTGGATTAATTAATATGACATGTGAAGGCAGTGCAGTGCTGGGCACTCATGAGAAAAGAGAAGGCTGTTTGATTTTGTGTTGCGATGAGTTAATCTCCATGATGGTTAATCTCCAGGATGGAAAGGGAAAGAGACAGTGTTGAATATACTCTCACTCAATTCAAAACGTGTGTTCATAAATGTAAGGGGACGAATGTAGATATATGTGAAATATTGTTAGCACTCACATGGAAGGAACTTGCTTTTCTTTGTATTCCATTGTGCAACATCCACGCCATATACAATGTATGTATGTTCAAAAATTAACTGCTTTAAAAACAGCTTTTTAAAAAAATAAAAATCTCGTTCCTCCCCCCTATGTTTCCAAGGTGGAGACCCTGGTTGTTTTGGGGTCAGGCTGTCATCGTTAGTAGCATCTGGGCTCCTGTCTGTTCCCCTTCTCCACTCATCCCATTCGTGCGTAAAGAAACAATTGTTTAAAATGCCCAGTGAGCGGGAGTGGGATAATTCATCAGCATCTTAAATGACAACACCATCCAAGCATCAGAATTCAAATGCATGAGACATTTATGGAAAACTGCACAGCAGAAGTTAGCAGTATACGTGGGGCAGGGTCAGAAGACACTTGTAATCCCATCCTGTGACTTGTGAGGTACAAAGTCTATACCATGCCATGTGTGGTTTGCACTGAGTTTACAGAGCCATGCTTTTCTCAATGAGCTACTCACCTGGTTCCTGTCCCTGGCATTTGCATATCGAAACCTCTGGATATAATAAAACACCAGCCACGCCAGAGAAATGATCATCAGGACAATGAAGGAGATGGAGACAAACACAACCGACGTGCGGCTCACATATTTTTGCAAGTTCCGGGTGCCGATGGTGATGTACATGGTCACGGTGATGTTTCTCTCCAGCAGGCTCACTAGCTCCTTCCCTTTGGGCTCAGGGATCATTACAGCCACGATGTCCTCCACACCTGTGGCGAGAGGGGCGAGGAAGCGGGCAATGAGGGTTGGGTGAGGGGAGGTAGTCAGAGTGAAAGGTTTGGGAGGGCACCATCTAAGTGATGACATTGCTTCTTGTTAGCCAGGGCTATCCCATTTTGCAAAGTGCCATCATTTTGACTGACAATTCCCCAAACTACAGTAATTTGGTCTTGAGGATTCAAAGTTACTTTATGCCTTCCCCATCACCACCACTGATCCAGAAACAGACTGACTGCAAACATGTATTAAGGACCACCATCAAACACAGGATACAGAACCTCCCCTTTCCTCTAAGGAGCCTCAAGCACTTCTCAGAGTCCCTGCCGTGTAAGCTGTTGGTTTTATGGTGTTAATACTTCTGCTAATGAAATTTTCTTACTGCAAAGTGCAACCTGACTCAATGTTCCCCTTGAATCCCAAATCTATCAAAACCTTTCATGTCCAGGAATCTTATTCAAAGCCGAGACACTTAACAGCCCCCACTGTTTTACACACACACACACACCATCATATACACACAACATAGACACATATAAACCATACACACCACACACACAAACACACACCACATATATACAACATCATACACATACCACATACACACAATCACACAATGCACATACCCGTCACACACATACATACATACTACACACATACCACACACACACCACATGTACATACTCTATACATCACACAACCCCACACACATACAAACACCCTTCACACACATACACACACACTACACACATACCACACACACACCACATGTACATACTCTACATACCACACACCACACACACATACACATACATACAAACAGCCCTCACACGCATACACACACACACATCACATGTACACACTCTACACACTGCACACACACACACACACACACACACACACACACACACACACACACACAAGTTCTACTGTCTAAGTTGCTGCCCTGATCTGGTCAGTGGATAGATCCCCTGAAAAGAGCAAAAGGAGTTTCCCTTCCATGTCAAGGAGTCATATGCCCAGCTCCTTGCCACAGTGCTCTCTCTACCCCCTTAACCCCTGTTATGTATCCTGTAAACACTCAATTACTGATCCCTGAGTACCTTATTTTATTTTTTGTTTTTTTGAGGCAGGGTTTCTCTGAGTAGCCCTGGCTGTCCTGAAACTCACTCTGTAGACCAGGCTGGCCTCGAACTCAGAAATCCGCCTACCTCTGCCTCCCAAGTGCTGGGATTAAAGACGTGTGCCACCACTGCCCGATGAGTACCATATTTTAAAGCAACTTTCCCACACATACACACACATACCACACTCAAGTGTGAAAACCTAAACAAGCAAAGCCAGGGATTCTTAAAGTGCTCCAACAGGATTGCCTAACTGAAGCAATGGTATTAGAGCTATTTTCTGTTCATTTTTACTCAATCTAATGGACACAGCTATGTGACCTCATGCCAAGCCAAGAGAAGATAAAGTTAGCTAATTCTTGAACAATGACACCACTTTCTCATATACTTCCACCTTGTTACCACAGAACTTAAAGGAAGAGTCTCTTTCCTTGGGCCTCAGCCATATGGGTCATTGTCCCTATGTCATGACACTGTGTGAAAGGCATGTCTAAAGAAGTTGTTCTAAGAACTTACACACCGGTCTTTGCATATGCATATGACACCAGATTCAAAGGAGCCACAACCTGTCATTGTGGCTGACACATGGATCAGAATACCACAGTTCAATCCACAGGAAAAGCTATAAGCTGATTGGTCTACAAAGCCCCACTTCTAGGTGGAAATATCTTGTTACCTGAGGTGATTAAATGAAATGGAACCTGTTTTAGTATTTAGTGTGTTGTAGATTCAGGAAAAAACTGAAACCCTGCTGTAGATGATGCTAGCAGGCTGTAGCCAGGCAGTCAGGTAGCAAGCTAGGACAGGATCACTCAGCTAGGCTGAACCAGATTGCGAGTGTGTGTGTGTGTGTTGGGAGACTAGGAGTCGGCTGTGTTATAAGTCTCTTTGACTCTGCTCTCTAGTCTCCCACATCCTTGACAGTGTTTGACTTGGACTGATTAAACTGTTTAAAACTCAACTTCTGTAGATGAATTTTCTTTCACTATGAAGCATTCATTAAAAACCCCCAACAACCTACAGACACACAGAAGCCGACTAGCCATGGGTTATGTGCTTTCAACCTTCCTATAATTGTTGCATTGATGTTGTAAGACCATCAAAGACAGGCGAGTGCTCAACTTTCGTTGCTGTCTTTAAGAATTCCAGAAGCTGATGGTTTGAATTTGAATTTGGCAGAGTTTACCCTCAATCTGGTAGCCCCTTCTCATGTGTGTTTGTTCTGACTAATGGCTACACATGGTCTGGGGTTTTGTGAGGGATTAAGGCCACTCCCAGGTTTTGACTCTATGGAAATATGATCTTCTTTGTACTCTGGACTAAGCTGGTCTGGGGGTGGGGTTCATCCCAGAGCTGCAGTTATTTTAGAGACCTGTGAGTACTGGAGAGAGGGTCATGATTTTCTAGTTTACATTCTCTAGGTATGCTTATTTACAGCTCTAGATTAGAGTTTTGGGAAGACAGGATGTAGGAGTAAATTAAGAGGCTTGCCATGCCCAGGCAGAACAAATTTATATTTTAATAGCCAAATTAATATATCCCTTAATTGCTTCCAGTTTTGATACTTTGGTTTAAATGGTTTGTTCCCATTCAAGATCATAGAACTACTCATTTAAAAACAGCTTTTCTAAACCATATAGTTTTACTTCTATCTTATAAATATCTTTAGCAACCAAATGTGGTTTGGTAACAAACACAGTATTTATTCAGCTTTTGTAATGGATAAACAGAAGGGATGGAGATTAGTGTGTGATTTAGTTCCCTCCTAAATTCTCAGCTTTATTTTGTACCCTGTGTTTCCTGTGAGGTTGACCTACTTTTTGCTGAACCTGCCCCAGGTCTTAAAGTCTTAAAGCTTTTAACCTGTTTCCTACCTAACGGCCTGAATGCCCTGGCACTATTCACCCTGCCTCCAGCCCACAATTTCCCTATTAGGAACTCATGCTTGAGAGGCTGTAGAGTGTAGTCATTAAGACTTGCTCTCTGGAAACAGATAGTGCACTTTAATCCAGTGCGGCACTTTAGGAACAGGTATGGAAAGGTTTGGATGCTGCAAAACTCTAAATTATTCATTATCTTTTTCCAGGGATCTGAGAAAACATTTTCTCCTTCTGCAGGGTAAGGTATAATTAACTATTTTAAACTGTTTGTTTTAAACCTAAGTGCACAGTGACTGCTTATTGTCTCTGAAACTGTGGGGACTTCAGGATGTACAACATCCTCTGAAAAGGAGAAGAGCATACATGGTAATGGGGCTGGTCTATTCATCTGGACACGACTTTTACTCATTTCTGAGACTTGTAATAACTTTCAGGGCTGATAATGAAGAAAAAGATGAGATTCCCAAAGTATTTCTCTTTGTACTTTAGACTGTATACCATGCACCATAAAGTTATACTGGGGATATGAATTTATTAAAATGGGACTAGTTACTGAAAACTGGATGCCTAGGGGCTTGAGAGAGAATGCTCAGTGATTAAGAGCATTTGCTGCTTCTCCAGAGGACCTGAGTTCAAACTCCAGCACCCACATAAGGGACACACAGTTGCTTATAATCCCAGTTCCAAGAGATCTGATGTGGTTTTCTGACCTTTGTGGACTTTTGAATGAATGCACACATTTCACATAAACTTATGCAGGCATACATATAAGCAACGAAAAAGTAAATTGGTTGTCTAAGTATCTCAAAGCAAAGCAAAGCAAAGCAAAGCAAAGCAAAGCAAAGCAAAGCAAAGCAAAGCAAAGCAAAGCAAGCAACAAATCCCAAACTCGTGTACAGTTAACTGCACTTGGATGAAGTATTCTGATACGTGCACAAAATCCAGATTGAGAAGCTGTTGAGGATCTAATTTGTTTAAAGGAAACATGTGCTGTTGTGAGCAAATACACTCTTCCATGATCATAACTTTATTCCAGATGCATACCTGCAGCAGAAGTTTAACTGTGGAAGTACAATAGCCAGGAAAGGAGAGAAGAGGAAGCTGGTGGGCTGTGGCAGGGCTGGCCGAGCAACAGGCACAGTCCCAGGGTTAAATGCTGCTCTAGCAATACATTTTGTATCTATGAGACACATGGACTTACAGGCCACGGAAGTGACATACACAGAGAGCAGATTCTGTATGGATAAAACCCACACAGGCCAAACTGTTTGGGTAATTCTATGTTTACTGTGACATCTAGGTGCTCTCAAATGCCTCCTCAGTAAAATTGCCTCAGTCTAACAACTATGTTTCTTCCAACTGTACCTCAGGCTTTGGAGTGGTAAGTGACCTATCTTATGTGATCCCTGTGTATTCTGGAAAAGCTCTTCAGTTAGAGATAATAATTCGTGACCAGGACAGACACCACCCAATTGGCAGAAGCACCATGTATTTTAGTGCTTTCTCTGTATATGACAGCATTCGGCAGCCATGGTCTCATTTGATATATGTGTGTGCATCAGGAATCCAAAGCTTATCAAGCCCGAGAGTGTTTAATGATGAGAAAGCCTCTGTTTACACACTCAAGTCAGGCTGTTTAATCATTGCATTAGTGAAATCTCTAGGACACCACCAGCAGAGTGCAAAGCACTGCATAGAGCTCATTGCCTTCCTCCCTATGCACCTGGGGTGGTGTGAACATCTCTGTATCCCCCCATTTCCCCAATCTGTGCTTTAGTCTCTCTTATTCTTAGCTCTCTAGGATCTAGGCAATTATAATAAAAGCACTCAGCCTTCATTTGTAAATATTTTCTACTTATACACTTGAAATAGTTCATTTAAAAAATGTCTGCTTCGGATTGCTGTCAATTCTCAAGTGGGATATGTACGAATAATTTTAGAACAGCAAAGTACCACATAAACTCAAAGTTACTGCTACTTTCTGCACCA